CAAATTCTCAAATTTCCAAATTCTCAAATTTCTAAATTTTCAAATTTCCAAACTCTCAAATTTCCAAACTCAAATTTCCAAACTCTCAAATTTCCAAACTCTCAAATTTCCAAACTCTCAAATTTCCAAACTCTCAAATTTCCAAACTCTCAAATTTCCAAACTCTCAAATTTCCAAACTCTCAAATTTCCAAACTCTCAAATTTCCAAACTCTCAAATTTCCAAACTCTCAAATTTCCAAACTCTCAAATTTCCAAACTCTCAAATTTCCAAACTCTCAAATTTCCAAACTCTCAAATTTCCAAACTCTCAAATTTCCAAACTCTCAAATTTCCAAACTCTCAAATTTCCAAACTCTCAAATTTCCAAACTCTCAAATTTCCAAACTCTCAAATTTCCAAACTCTCAAATTTCCAAACTCTCAAATTTCCAAATTCTTAAATTTCCAAACTCTCAAAATTCCAAACTCTCAAAATTCCACTCTCAAATTTCCAAATTTCCAAATTCTCAAATTTCTAAATTCTCAAATTTCCAAACTCTCAAATTTCCAAATTCTCAAATTTCTAAATTCTCAAATTTCCAAACTCTCAAATTTCCAAATTCTCAAATTTCTAAATTCTCAAATTTCCAAACTCTCAAATTTCCAAATTCTCAAATTTCTAAATTCTCAAATTTCCAAACTCTCAAATTTCCAAATTCTCAAATTTCCAAACTCTCAAATTTCCAAACTCTCAAATTTCTAAATTCTGAAATTTCCAAACTCTCAAATTTCCAAACTCTCAAATTTCCAAATTCTCAAATTTCTAAACTCTTAAAGTTCCAAATTCTCAAATTTCCAAGTTCTCAAAATTCCAAAATTCCAAAATTCCAAAATTCCAAAATTCCAAAATTCCAAAATTCCAAAATTCCAAAATTTCAAAATTCCATAATTCCAAAATCCCAAAATTCCATAATTCCAAAATTCCAAAATTCCAATATTCGCAACACTAAAATCGCCAACACCAAATTCTCCTATACCCAAATCTCCAAATCTCCAATTCCTCAACTCCCCAAATCCCCAAATCCCCAAATTCCCAACACCATCTGCCCAAATCCCCAAATCCCCAAATATCTAACACCATCTCCCCAAACCTTCAAATCCCAAAAACCAAAAAATAACCAGAATCCAAGTACCCTTCCTCATTCCCAGTCTTCCCAGAATCTCCTAATTACAAAATCACCGATCGCAATCCTCTCGAATCATCGATGCCATGGTGCACGTGAGCCCCGTTGTTCGTGACCGTCGTCTCGAACCAAAATCGGAGAACAATGCCGTTCCCCTTGCACGAATTTTTTCTTCCACCGCTGCCACCATAACGTACCGGAACAGGGTGTCCGAGGGGCTACGCCTAGGGGATTCCTCGCGGACCCCGGTATCGCTGGATCGAAGCGAACGTTACAGTTTCCGAAGCGCGAAATCCAAATAGAGACAAAGGGGTTTGGCCTGGATATGGATCGTTGCATATTGCATGGGGGGAGCTACTTGTATTCTTCTCTAACGAACCAACTGCCTGCGGGAACGAGCGTATGGGATAGGTCTACGGTGTTACACCCTCTTGCCGGAATATCGTGTGTCATTTAGTATCGACAGGAAAATGGTGGGTGTATTGGGATTTTTAGATTGGTCTGATTCTGATTTGTAACTACAGTTAGGTCTACACTCTTAGTATGTTGGAAAAGTAACGGCACTTTTTACATTTAAGGAAAACTAGCGTCGTCTATTAAAATGATATTTTATCTAAGAACAGTATACTTCTTCTACAAAACATAATCATTATTGGAATCGAGTAAGGAATTGTAAACTTATAGTGCATCGAGCAACGAATTACTCGATCAGTGACCATGATATTACCCTTGTGAAACTCTGTTTCTAATTTTCAAGAATATATGTTCAAAGGTAGAGTATTTTGATAACAGAGTAACGTTGAGAAGTAAAAGAAAGTCGAAGCTGCACTCGTTATGACACGTGTCCCAAAGACGTTTCATCTTCCCTCGCTAACGAGCCTGAAAAATCTCCCAACCACCCTTTGTTCCCTTCAATTATTCTCTCCCGTCGATGAGAGGTTGATTAGACTATGATCACAGGGAATTAGAAACTTGATCACCTCATTTTTGTGAATCGAGAAATCGGACACACAGATGCCAACCTACGAGCTGGCGTATGGTGTTGCAAGCCTATCCCTTCCATTTCTGCAAATAACCGCAGCAATTCGCACTATAGCCAGTCATTTTCGCCTAATTTCCAATACCGAAAGTGTGAGGCATTTCTCTTCTGACCAATTGGGTCCTTCACCTGGGTCAGCCACCACGCAATTCCTGGCTCGACTACGGTATGTACTGTAGACAACCCTGTTCCTGGCGCGTGGAGCCAGGTTTAAGGGACGCCCACCGTAGAACAGTCCCATGTGACGTTCCATAGTGACTACTCGAAACGTTTGCCTGACTTGTTCTTTCACTCAATTGTGCGCGAGCAATACCGGCGAAAATACGTGTGAGGCCATTTTTCTATTCTGACCAATTGGGATAGTCCTACTGGGTCAGCCTACGCCGGCTCCTGGTTTGACTGCAGTATGGTCCACAGGACATGTAGCAAGGTCTAACACGTTGAAAGATCGACGGTGTTCATTTAGATGTGTTGGCATCTCTGACAGAACGTAACGTCTTAAATGACATGTTCTGTATGAATTTTTAGTGACGGAATCAATACCGAAAATACGTGCAGGGCCATTTATCTATTCTGACCAATCGGGGCCATGGGTACTCCTGGGTCCGCCTCCTATGCGCCAGCTCCTGGTTTGTCTGCAGTACATA